ATACAATATTTGTTACTCGCTTCATTTATAAAAAAAATTCATTAATAAATAAGATGATTTTTTCACATTTAAATAATTTTCATACAAGCATTAGTTTATAATATTTAAAATGAAATTAGTTTTGATTCTATTTATTTTAATAATAATGTAAAATTAAAAACAAACAATACATTTCAATAACTAGATTAAAAAATTAAAAATCAATACATGACTGGACTAAAATTGAAATTTTTTTAAATAATAAACAAAACATTCTTTTCATAAATAAATAATATACGAAGTATTATGAATTTGTTTATGATACCTTTAAATGAAGTTAGTTTGATTATATTTATTTAAATATTAACACCTACTAAATAAATACTTTCTTCGCCTATTATGAAATTTCTTATTTTTTAACACATAATATACCACCTAATTTTCATAATAGAAAACGTAAAATCAACATTTTCATAAAATGTGATCCTAAGGTCCACATGTAAAATGTGAACCTTCTTAAACTTTTCATGGACTAGCAAGTAAATATTTTTTTTTAAAAAAAAGATCCAATTCCTTTATGATAATATTACACCAAAATCTATAAAATGAGCATGGACCGTAGGACTGTGGAAAATTTTGCCTTATAACAAAACTTTCAATCCCCCCCCCCCCATAAAAAATTTTCAATTAAAAAATAAGATACATTTTTTTACCTCTAAATCAATGTCATCAACCACCCACATTCAAGTCTAAATACGTACGTGCTAGAAGAGGATCAATATTGTGATAAAAAAGGATAGAATCAGTATTTAAACTTCATCTTTCTGTCCAACTTGACGAGAGATGAACGATATCAACTAGAGATGCAAGATAAGGGGAAAAAGAAATACTTCAATAAAAAACATAAACATAGTTCGTATGTTTCATAAAATTTATGTGTAGTTAAAGTGTAAAATTGTTGCTTTAGACTTTTTATGCATCCGTCTTTGTTATATGGTATTCTAATGCAAGTGTGTTAGAATTTTTGTAATAACTAAATCAAACAAAATATGTCGGTGACTATAATTTCGCTATGGTTCCCGAGTCAATAAACACTAACGATAGGCCGTCTGCAATATGTGTCAATAGGAACTAGAGAGTTATTTTATTGAGAATATTTTAAACGGTCCAACAAGGATGTACAAGCTCTCAAAGTTTGAAGACAGTTTACAATGATGTACATAACACGTTCAAGGATGCATGCAAAGGATTGAGGTTACTAGTGGTGATTAAAATTTTATTGAAGGCAAGATGTTGTAGAGCTAGGATCCGAGAGTGAGCTAAAAAAATTCTTTATCCCATTATTACTGACAAATACCATGAGTCGCTCTCATGTTGTTTGGGAAAAATCATGGAAGCACTTAGTTGACGAGGTTTATTTGATTGAAGAAGAATATTACATTATCAATGTGTTTTTATAAAAAGATAATTTTACTTTTTTATAAATATCAATATGAAATGCATGGTCGGTGCATATACAAAACTCTAGAATTGAAATATGAGTATAATAAATTTAGTTATATTTTAACTATTTTTTGCAGAATTTGTAATTGATTAAAATTGAAAGATACCTAATTCAAATGGACGACCTTTGAAGGAGTTTAGTGGTATGTCATTCCGAGATGACAACCCACTTAACAAGTTTGAAAATAATTTCTTGGTAGAGGAGTTGAACTATGACAAAGCAAAGTTATTATCTGATTTTAGCTGATATTAATCTATAATGAATGAAGACCCGTGGAAGATAGGCAAAAAGGCTAAAGTAGGATTGAAAAATTGAAATTATAACAAAATAGGAGTTCCATTTTTAATTCATGAAATAGAAATTAAAATGCATTTACGGTACCGATCATTATGGTCAATTTGTAAATTGTAGGTGCTACAGTCAAATCTTTAATATTATGATCAATTTGTAAACTTTCATGTTGACCAAAAATATGCGACTACATTCATATACTTCCTCTTGCGCAAATAGGGACACACGTGCTTTTTTTTATTGGAAAATTAGTTTCAAAGATGGAAAGCTATGTGAGATGATTGATGGAGTTATTGATGTTCCCCCAAATTTTTTATTTTTGAAAAAAGTTATCCTATCAAGAGTATAATACGCTAACATCACTTATCTAAACATATGAGAGAATATGAACAATTATTCTTTTTTAAGGCCTGGACACTATTAGCCCAACTCTCGAAGTAGTTGAAATGATAAATAAATTTGTCATATCTCTCATTCCCGATGATAAAAAGGAGTACTTAAATTCTGATTCTTCATGCGAAGGAAATGGAGATGCAGGTGTTGATGGCGATTGAATAACAATTGAGTTTTAAATGAAATCAAATATTCGAGAATTTCAAGCCATAAAATAGTTTTGAAAAAAAGGGCTACCAATTATATATGCTATTGAGAAACATTGACCAAATATCTGAATTGCGTGATGAGACAAGACTAATTGTTGAAGAGCTACAAAATAATGTTATCGGTGCAATTGTGGTTTCGAAAAAACGAGTCGAGAAAAAGGTTTACATACCTAGAATGAATTTCGTACCATCTGATCCACGATTACTCTTAAAGTTCTAGAAAAGACAATTCCCAATGTTTTATGTTTTGCTATGAGTTTTAACAAAGTCAAAGTCAAACATTATCATTTGTTAGATTATTTTTAATCAATTCGGTGTTCACTTATGATCAACTTTGCGGTGATGTTTCACGAGTAAAAAGAAAGACAGAATTAGAAATATTAGTTCTAGATGATAACGAAAATCCTTGCAACTACATCAAAATTGTTGTATACCCAAAAGTCTTTCAAAAATATAGATTTAGAAAATCTTTGAGATGTTCACTTTTGAATTTGTATATAAGAATTTTCATTACCAAATATTTAATACTAATTTTTTTTTTATTTTTTTAATGTCTTAGTAATAAACATATTATATTTTGTTTATAAATTCAATTTAAAATATTGCATTGAAGTTAATTTACAAAAGTGTCAAAAATTTCGTCCAACCCCGTGCATTGCACGGGTTAAAATCCTAGTAATTTAAAAAATCACAGTTTTAAGGATATGTTTGTCCTACCAAAATAAGTGTGGATACAAAATATTGTGAACTTGGATACGATCTAGAAGGCTATGTACTTGAATACTTATCATGAATTATCAAAGAAATAAATAAAAAATTGTAACAACATGATATAGAAAAATATTGGGGAATTTACCTAAATAGGACTAAAACATAATGAATATCTCAATATAAGACCATATGTTTTTATTTTTCAATTAGAATCATTTGTCATTGTCCATTAGTCATTATTCAAGAAAATGTCTACCATCACTGGTGATTATTTCTCTCACTAAACATTATAAAGTACTATTTATGGAATAAAAAAGTTTAAGTCCTACATTGAAAAATGATTTAAGTCCACAAAATTTATTTACACCGTTCAAAGAACATGTAAAATTTCATCTTTTTTTAAATACATCAAAAGTTCTACAAAACAAGATGTGACAAGAATATTTTATTTTATCAAAGATTATTGAAAACATAAGAGTAAAAAAATATGAGAAGGCTCAGATAGTAAAACTATAAATTACTTTAAGGCTGAGGGAGTATAATAATGTTACTATTCAATTCAATAATAATGCTACATATGTTTCAATAATAATAATAATAATAATAATAATAATAATCACGCTACATATGATTAAATTATACTTACTCATCATTATTGTTATTATCATTATTGTTATTACTATTATTATTATGATTATTGTTATTGTTTTTAGTATTAAAGTAATCATAATACTTTCTGTTCCTAAATTTGTCTTCTTTGACAACACGTGAAATATTGCATATGTTCTAAAATAATTTTTTTACAAAATAGTATATAAATAAAGATCACAATTTATATATATATAAATTAATTCAAAAGTTTTTCAAAACCCGTAATGACATATATATTTTTATTTTATCAAATATTTAATTAAATCACTTATCCAAAAAATTATCTGAGACCTGCAATAGCACACATGATGATATCTTAAGAGTGGAAGGAGCAATAATTTTAATAATAATATTCTCTTTGTCCTACAAAATACTCCCTCCGTTTGGAAAAAATGTTCCTCTTTTGACTTTGTGTAAAAATAAGAAAGTATTAAATTGTAGTTGACTTCCAATTTTGTCCTTGATGTGATAGGTAAAAGTAAGATGTGATTGATAGATTATTAGAGATAAAGTATGATGTGATAGGTAAGGTATGAAAACGTAAGGGTAAAAGTGGTTTTTTAATACAAAGTGGAAGTGTTTTGTTGGAAGTGAAAAAAATGAAAGAGGAAGTGTTTTTGAGAACGGGGGGAGTATTACTTTTTACAAAAGTTAAAATGTGTGAAAATAATATGATTATTAAAAAGTGGTTAAATCTTTTTAAATATGAGTGAAATATTTTAGATTATATAGATATTTCTAAAAAGAGAAGGATAAAATTAATTTTTTTTGAAACGTTTACAAATAAAGCAATTTTTATGTGATTCTTAGATCGATACTTATTATATGAACCTAAGGATATAATAATAATAATAATAATAATAATAATAATAATAATAATAACATTAATAATAATAACAATAAGAATAAGAATAAAGTTTTTATAATAATTTTAACTTTTAATCGAATCAGATAAGATCCATTAAAATCAAACACGATCCAATCAGATCAGATTCATTTAGATCTAATCGAACCAGATCTTATCAGATCAAATAAGATAAAATTAGATTCAATCGGATCAAATAAGTTTAATCATATTAAATCTAATCAGATCAAGTTAAATCAGATCTTTAAAAAATCTGATTAGATCAGGCGAACGAAACAAAGCTTTAGCACCATCCCAACTTAGAAGTAGTTCATTCTTAAATGTTTAAAAAAGAAAGTAAATTTACCTTACAAGTAGGGTGATGATGTGACAATCGCTAAGTTGTTTTGAATTGATGAGGTGACCATCTTAACTAACATATACACTTGCTTCCATTGTAATCACCTAAAAGGCACACAAACTATGACAACTATCTGTATTTATTTCTTACAGATCTGAGAATAAAACCACACACAATTGCCAAAACTTAGTATCCACTTTGAGGGCACCCTAGAGTCACCCTCCAAAAAAATGAACTATCCGAGTTGCAATGGGCAAATAAATCTTGTGCTAACCTTACAAAAAAATGTTCCTGGAAAATATATGACCAGAAAAAATTTGTAATTGAAGAAAAAGATATCATGAATCAGGAATACTTGCGAAGACAGAGTCAATATCCAGAGTTAGAACTGCGCGCTTATCAAGCTCAGCGAGATCGCAGCAAGCCTTCTCTTCTGTGTTAACTGCAACAACACCCTGAGCAAAAACACAGTCCATACCAGGAGAAACCTGCAATACATATATAGTCGTCGTATGTATCTTCCCTTGATTGGTTTCCCAAAGTAAAAAAAACAGCACCAACCAAAAGCCATGCATAAACTATATCAGCTTGGTGGGTGTGTGTGTGGGGTGGAGTGGGGGGGACATACATCATAAAGACTTTCGCCGAGCCTCATCTTGACAGCTCCAGTCTTGTACACTATCATTTTGCCAAGAAACCCCTCGCCCAACTCATCAAGCTTACAAAGCCTAGCCTTTGATAGAGCCCTCGGGTTGTTAGTTGTCTCACTCCCTTCTGGCTTCTTTAACATATGCCAGTTCAACGGTAATTGGAAGAACATGTTGCCCTCCAATGCCTCATCCTGCCCATTCATTCAGGTCAATCTTTTTTGTATGAAAAAACTTTTTAATCTACTCACTTCCCATTAAAAAAAAAAATAATCAGAAAAATCACAAAATTACTTTGGGGTGACGTGAGTTTTCTAGTAAGAACTCATAAGTCCTCATTTAAAAAAAAAACACTAGGACCCTGTTATTCCCTATTATATACTTATTCACATGGTCTGCTTGCTTCTGTTATGACTATCAAATCATTTTTAACATTCTGTTTTCTTTTTCTCCATTTGCAATTGACTAAAAAAGGAATATCATCCGTATAATATTTTTTTTCATTTGCAAGAAAAATCAGAAAGTAAAAAACGAGATGGTGGTCTTATTTAAAGACAAACTGACAATGCGAATAAAGATAAAATATGGAATACAGAGCCTTTATTTTAGCTTGACATATTATTCGTCGGAATATTAAATAATTGTGATGAAAAGTATCCTCATAGTCTGTTAAAAAAAAGAGCCCTAGTGGTTTTTAAAAACCATGAGGACCCACGACTTCTTACGAGAAAACTCGTGTCACCCCAAAATGATTTTTTAGAAAAATTACATTAAACTACTTCAACCAACTCAGTAAAAACCCCCACACAGGGTATGGACCGAGAGAGGATGAACATAAGCAAACTTTGCCCCTACTTGGACTAAAAGTACTTCATATATTTTTTTTGTTAAAATGCACTATAGAGTTTTTTTAACAAATAAGTTTTTAAGCCTGACTTCTTTTTAGAAAGGAGTAAGTAGAATTTAATCAACTTTGAGTGATTAGTGCACTAACGAGTAGTCCAAGCTCCGCAGCAGAATTTGTTAAACTTTCATTGTAAACCGAACGCTGCAAAGTCTCACCAAATTCCTTCTTATCAAGAACCTCTACAAATGAAACAAAAAACAATCATTGAAAAAACAAAGAAATTGCATAAGAGGAAACCCATAACCAAATATTACGTATGAATTAGTGCAGTACAATTCTAAACAGTATAGCAAGAATTTACCTGGATTTCCTGAATAAGGCTTTCTCAATGGTAGAGTTGTAGGATAATATGCATAATAATCCTTTTGAAGATAAAAAAAATTAATCAATATTTAATGTAATGGTAATAACAACAGCAACAACAATAATAATATGTGGCAAATGATGTCCACTTTTGACTAACCCAAGGTTCATTGTATTCTTTCTCAGGTTGAAGCACCTCTGTACCGCCTGCAGAAAGAATTGCCTTTAAAATAAATCAGAAAAATATTTACGGCATCAAAATGGATGGAGATGGTACTTTCCGTCATTAGAGGCTGAGTTCTGAAGCTTTTCAGCGCCCTTGGGAGGGAGATTTGATTTTAATGACTTTAAGAAACCTTCCGGAGCAGGCACAAACTGTATTGATCCTACATTGTTGAAGAAATAATACAAAGGGTCAATCAATTTTTAAAACTAGTGAGAACTTGGACTTCAAGATTTCCACAAGAACTAACCTTTCTTTTCTACTTTAGCTTTTCTAGTAGTAGCCTCCTGGGTTTAAAAGAGAATAATCTCATGAAACCGAGGTAAAATAGTTAAAATTGAAAGTAAAAAAGAATCCAATAAACTGTGAATCATTCAGCAGCAAGAAAAAAACGGAATCATGAATGAACATGAGGCGCAAATACCTTGAAGCGGCGCAACAATTCCTCTGATTTCACAGCATCAAAATCATCTTCGACTTTTTCCCTGCAAATGTTAGCCAGGATTAACTTAACTTGAACTAAAAAATGCTGCTTTTGAATAAACTTTAGTTAAAAATGAGACTAATTACGGTTTCGGCAAAACAAGCGTCTGGGCTCTACGAGGAGGAGCTTTCGGAGCAAATCTCACCTATACAACTCAAAAATACAGTTTTTCAATATAATGTTACATGAGAATCAAATCTCATTCTCAAGCAAATGGCATATCGAATAAGAAAGCATATACTCAAAATAAAAATAATTTTTAAAAAACTAATGCCCAACGTTCAAAATCATCAGGACTACAGGTATTGAATCTTAACCTTCCTAGTTGTTCTGGCTGTAACTTTGGAGGCTGCATATAATTCAGGATCCATGAAACCTCAATCAAGATGATCCTGTTATAAATCTGAAAACTAAAAACTGGTTACTCATCATCATCAACAACACTACTACTTTATTAATGTTGACTTGTTTAATGTAAGCCTCACAGCAATGCGGAACCAAAACGATCTTAGGATCTTTCCATGTTTCTTTTCCACTATGTTTGGTTCAAGATGTTTGGAAGGAAAAGAAAAGAAAATGATTTTCTCTCATTTTCCTCGCCAAAATGGAAGGAATTTAGTTTTCCCTCCACTTGGTACATTTTGCCTTCTCATTTTCTTTTCCTTCCACTTTTTCTTTCTTTTCCTCTCTAACCAAACAAGAAACTTTGTTTTCTACTTCATTTTCATTTCTTTTCCCTTTCAAATTCCTTGAACCAAACATAGTGTTCATCTGGGCTTTTGTGAAATCTATGCACATTAAATGATAGTGCTAAGTTACTACTTTGTATTAATTGAGGTGAAACCCAAGTTAATCGCGTCAATCCTCATTATCCTACCAGGAGGATTGGAGGCAATCCCATGTTATAACTTATACTGATAATACAAGAACCTAAACCATACAAAGGAATCTCACATTACATTTCTAACATTACTGAGTTAATGATAAACTCTCTCCGCCCTATAGAATTTTTCCATTTGGAAAAAGGTGGGAATTAATGAATGTGTAATTTTGGTGTTACTTGCCAATTTAAGCCTTCCTATAAAGTAGGGTAGAATAGGAGGTAATTCATAGTATAATAGTGTAAAGATATCATAAGATAGGTATGTTTATACTTCATCCAAAAATTATCTTTCGATTGCGCGTTACTATGTTTGACTGAAGCTATTTTCAGATCATTTTATTTGAAAAATGGTGTGGAGTTAAAAAATAAAAATTATATATTAAAAAACTACATCAAAAGATCTACAAAACTACAGGTGATATGACTATATTATTTTATCAAATGGGCAGCGAGAATAAGCCAACAAAGTGAATAAAGTTTGATCATGTGAATAATAAACGGACGGGAAAATGATTTTTTGTGAAGGGAGTAATTAGTAAGGGTAAAAGGGAGATTTTAATTCAAAGTGAAAATATTTTTTGGGACGGACGAATAGTGAAAGTGGAAAGAACTTTTGGGACAAAGGGAGTATTATTTGCACCAGACACCCAAGGACATGGGAATATGATATTAACATAGATTAACAATAGAAACATTTAAACAAGATTTCAAACTTCAAAGTCACAAATAACTCAGTCATTCTTTTATTGTTTCCAATAGAGTGTTATGTGGGAGTTACAAAGTCCTTAGAATATACTCCATTTGTCCCACAAAAGTTGTATCACCTTCCTATTATCCGCCCCAAGATAATTTCTATAATTTTTCTATCTCTTTTTAGAAGAAAAAAAAGGTGGTCCAAAATAACAGCTATCACTGATTTCAAATAAATCACATAATCAAATCTACGATTGTTTATGCACACAAATAAACACTATCTATGATTTCTACGCTAAAACAAACCCACGAACTCACCTCTAATATTACACGAATTAAACAAAAAACAAATCGGCGGTTCAATTGACAGAGAAGATGTTGAACTCGGCGGTGAGAGGCGGCGGCAAACCAACGGTGATCACCCCCCCTCCGTTCCTGGCGCGCGATTTCCCCTTTCGTCAACTCTCTGTTCTTGTTCTCGCGCAGCTCTACAGGTTTACTCCGTAACTTTTTTTCCTCTCCTCCCTATATATATATATATATATATATATATATATATATATATATATATATATATATATTAGTAATTTCATAAAAGGTCCCAGTTATAGATCGTTTTATATATTTAGTCCCTACATATCAAATATTACTAAATTAGTTCCCAATTATTATATTCATTTCCACGAATAGTCCTTTGTAAACATTTTCGTTAAGAACTTGGATAAAATTGTAAATTCACACTTTTTTCTCTCTTGAATTAAGCTTCCTCCCTCCCCTCGCACTCTTTTCTCAAACCTGCCGCTGAGTTTAAAGCTTTGAATCCAAAACCGAAATCATCACTCTTCTCTCAATTGTTTGTCTAACTGGTGAAACCTAAATTCGAAACCAGTAACCTTCATGGATGAGTTTTAATGTTTATTTGTTTGCAATTTCTTGAGACTATCCAATAAAAATCATCCAAAAAGCTTATTGGTTTTGATTTTAAGTTCCACCAGGAAGACTAATAATTGAGAGAGGAATGATCATTTCAGTTTTGGGTTTAGAGATTTAAACTCAGCAACGAGTTTCGGAAAGAGTACGAGAGGAGGGATGAAACTTAATTGAAGAGAGAGAGAAGTATGGATGTACAATTTTATCCATGTTCTTAACAAAACGTTAATAAAGGACCATTCGTGGAAAATGATATAATAATTGAGGACTAAATTAGTAATATTTGATATGTAGGGACTAAATATGTAAAACGACCTATAACTCAGGACCTTTTATGGAATTTACTCACATATACATACATACATACATACATACATACATACATACATACATACATACCCACACACACACACATAGCAGGGCTTTGGGGTGGTTTCTTACGTACGGGGTAGATTAGGTTAGGAAATTAGTTTAGGTAAATGTATTATTATATTATAAAATCTTTATATTTATTTATTGAACTTTATCTATTTACCAATAACTTTTTATACAAAAGTCTAAACACAACAAACTATATACCGTTAGTCACCATTTTACGAGATCTACCCAATTACCTAAACTCTCAATCTTAATCATTAAAATCCAAAAGTAAACTATTATGTCTCTATCGTATCACCATCTTAAATCAATTTACATCAAATTAAAAAAAATACACAAAACCAGGCTACTGCCCAAAACTCAAAGCTAATGGGGGAGGGATGGTCGACCGTTGCAGGACCACGGTCGACCGTTGCTAAAGTAGTATGGGTACACCGTGATGGTAGACCATGATGAGGCATGGTCGACCGTTTCATCTCAGGGTTTTAGTTGGGTTCGACGTGAACAGTAATGATGGTTGAAGGCTTGGACCGTGGAAAGTAACAAAGGATCATTGTGTCGCGATAGAACACACCCTTCAGTGTGAAAAGTGTGGACGGTTGACAGTGATGGACAATTACTGACCAATGGTTAACCATTGGAATTGCAATCGCGACCTCTTCCTTCAGGCAATCCACCAAGTGGACCGTTCCGCTGGGCGATCGACCGTGTCGAGCCTACTGGTATCATGCGTTTTTGGGATGCGAGTTTCAAAGTCCATTTCTACTCATTTTAAAATAAACTTTCTCCATTTTTATCAACACTAGTATCACACCCGTGCGTTGCACGGGTCATTTTTATGTTATTAAATTCAAATCATTTTTCAATGATAAAAAATGATATTCAATAGAATATAGAGATTATATTATTTTAAAGTACAAAATATCAATGTTTTACAAATTTCGAAAGACTTCTTTATAGACTACATTATTCGTACAATTTGTGGGAATATTGTTTTCATTGCATATGAGAATCTTCAACCTACTACGATTAGTTACTCTTGAAACTGCAACATAGAGTTGTCCATTACTAAAACATGTAGGATTATTGTTACGGAAACAAACCTGTGATAAACCCTAACTGCTCGTAGCTTCATCATTAACTGCTCGTAGCTTCATCATTAATGTAAGGACTATGAAAGTTTTGTAACTGAATGTATTTATAATATGATTTTTGCATACAGGGTTAAAAAAATTATTCATTTCTTAAAGTGCTATAACGAATTTAAATTACTATTACTATATTTAAATTATTTAATTTATTATATTTAAAACTACTATAATAATAATTACTGTAATTAAAATGACACGGTAGTTAATACGGAGTATACAATTATCTAGTCACACGGTTATATAATTAATACATTGGTTAATTATTACATGTTTTTATTAAAATTACTATAATTAAAATATAATAAAATATAGTCATTATAAAATATAGTCACTATAATTAAAATATAGCCATTATAAAATTACTACTATAAAATTACTATAATTAATACCCTGGTCAATTATTACCTTTTTTATTATTACCTTTCTTGCTAGTATAATTTTGGACACTTTAAAAACGACAGTTAATTATTACCATTCTTGATTATTATATTTCTCGCGATTAAACGTAAATATATATATATTTAAAGGAGATTTAATTCTTACAGTAGTTATAATCCATTTTTTATTACTATAATTTCGGACACTTTAGTTTTTTACCATCTTTAAATACTTAACAATTACTATTACTATATTTAAATTATTATATTTAAAATTACTATAATTAAAATGACATGGTAATTAATACGGAATATACAATTATGTAGTCACACGGTTATATAATTAATATCTTGGTTAATTATTACCTTTTTTGATTAAAATTACTATAATTAAAATATAGTAAAATACATCCATTATAAAATATAGCCACTGTAATTAAAATATAGCCATTATAAAATTACTATTATAAAATTACTATAATTAATTTGGCACGGTAATATGTAATTATGTAGTCACACGTAATATTAGATTTCATTAATAGTGTAATATACAATTTTAATTAAAATTACTATAATTAATATGACACATTAATTAACATTTAATTACTATAATTAATTTGATACGGTAATCACATGTATTACTATAATTAATTTGACACAATAATTAATATTTAATTACTATAATTAATTTGACACGGTAATCACACGTAACATACAATTTTAATTAAAACCACTATAATGAAAAACACACGTAAGATTCCAATTTTAATAAAAACTTATGCTTTCCAATTTTATAACTTACCTTTCTTCAGAGTATAATTTCGGACACTTTAAAAATGATAGTTAATTATTATAAGAAAATAATTATATTAACTTCACAATTACCATTTTATATTACTATAATTTCGGACACTTACCATATATATTAACTTCACAATTGTCATATGTAATGGACATACTTCGTGCACGGGTTAAGAATGGACACTATAATTTCGGGACACTTACCATTTATATAGATAATAATTGGACGGAGTAATAATTGTTACATTTTTTTGGTTATTACCTTTCTTGCCATTAAACATAAATTTAAATATAAATATATATATTTAAAGGGTTTGACCGTATTAATTTTATTCGAAACTTGTGTATAATTATTCTTACCATAATTATATTATACTATAATCATACACACATTTTTTTATATAACCTAGTCACACGGTAATAATATAATTATACAATTATGGTAAGAATAATCATACACACGTTTTTAATAGCATTGATTGCAGTGTATTAAAGTTTATAAATATTTTTTATTAATAATTTTTGCCTATTAATAATAATCAGTCTTAATGAATTAACTTTTTTATTTAATTCGTAATTACGTCGCTCTACATTATTACCATTTTTAATAATAATTAGTCTTATTAAATATAATACTTTTAAATTTTTATTATTAAAGGAGAATAATTAAGACTGAAATTACCATTTTTAAAGCTAAGTAAGGAAATAAAAATCCTGAAATTACCTTTTTTATTTAATTCATAATTACGTCGGTCTACATTATTACCATTTTTAATAATAATCAATCTTATTAAATATAATACTTCTAAATTTTATCATTATATGAGAAAAATTTTAAAATGGTAATTTCCGGATTTTATTTCCTTACTTTAAAAATGGTAATTTTAAATAATTTTGACACTTAATTACTCCCTCCGTCCGGAAATAATCTTCCCATTTCTCCTTTTTCTCCGTCCGGAAATAATCTTCCCATTTCAATTTTTATACACTAACTACCCAAAATACCCCACTTACAAATACTCACCCTATCTCTCCCCTCCCCTTTTCTCTCTCCTCCCTTCCTCGCCTCTCTCCTCTCTTTCCTTTCTCTTCTCTTTTTTTCTTCTTCTTCTTTTCTTCTTTCGTTCATTCTTCTTCTTCTTCTTCCCCAGTTCTTTCTCACCATGTTTTTTCTCCAGATCTATCCCTTCTTCTTTTTTTCTTCTTCTCCTCCTCCTCCTCCTCCTTCTCCCCTCCCTTCTTTCTCGTCCTCCTTTTTTCGTCCAGATCTGTTACTTTCTTCTTCTTATTCTTTTTCTTCTCCCCCAATTCTTTCTCATCCCTCTTTTCTTTCTCTAAATCAATTAATCTTCTTTTTTCCTCTTCTTATTCCTCTTTTTCTTCTATTTGTTTGTCTTCTAAATCTGTAAGGTCTGGGAAAATCTAGGGGCTGAAGTGGTTGTGGGGGCTGTGGCGATTGCGGGGGGTCGACGGTAGTTTTGGATCTACCGCAGCAGTGGTATCGACGGAAATGGTGAGAGCAAAAGGCAGGCTAGTGGGTGGGGACAATTGGGGGAAGGGTATTTTGGACTTTTCCATCCTAAAGTCAACACTTCAAAAAAATGGGAAAAAGTCCAAATGGGAAGTTTAGTTCCGGACGGAGGGAGTATTATAAATCTAATATAATAATTATATTTATAAAACGTAAATTTTATATTACTATAATTTCAGACACTTACCATTTTAACTTCACATTACCATATATAATGGCCATAATCTTTGGGCGGGAAAACACAATACTGACTCCGTGTCTTTTTAAATAAAGTATGGATGAGATAATGATACAGTAATATAACATACAAAAATCGTAGTTTTTACGTAAGGTTCCCGCAAAGGTTTTCATAGGTATTTTCCGGAATTACGGCAATATTAATAATAACTACGAGGCACGCAATATGTATATGAATGTATCTATAAAATCTACGTCGTACATAAGTCTAGGGTATAGACCTTTTTTGTAGAGGAAACATAATGACTCTAACACCTCCACATACGGTCGAACGGATGTCACTATCTACTTCTAGCTTTTCTTGTCTTGAGGTCATCTCTTTGAACCTTCATAACGCAGAGATAAATGGTGTGAGGAGAGCATCGAAATGAGTATAACAACGATAGGGACATAATATACTCACTTACCTAGTGTTATCTATTCAAGACTCCATTGATGGAGAAGGAAAAGCTTGAAGAGGAAAAAGAAAGTTGTAAGGAAACAAATCAGCTAGCTAGTAAAGTGTGCTGGGAGGGTTTTGGAATGACCGCTACCTTCATGTCAGAAAGTAGACAAAAAAAATTCTTAAATAAATAAATTCCCTTTTAGTGAATCAAAAATTTGTTGTTGTACTTTTAATGTTTCTCTCCAACATGTAATTTCTTATGTGGAGTATCGTATACTACTAAGAGCACTGGTAATACGTATGAAGTCCTGGGCTTCAAAACTTCTTTCTTTGTCTTGTCAACTTTAACTTACCTCACAATTTCACTAGAAATGAGTTTGAAGCCCCGAGGATTTAAACTAGAGCGTCAAACCTTTTTTTATATTTTTAATACACATCTTCTAAAATTAAATTAAATAAAACTTAATTTTAATTAAATTTAAATGAATATAATTCATTCAATCAAAAAAATTACATTCAATAAAAAGAAAATTTAAAAAAAATAGATTAATAAAAAAGCAAGAGAGAATTTTATTTGGTCTTGATCTCTTTTTGACTTCTCTTGTAAAGCATACATTTGAAGCCTGATAACGTATCAAGGTCGGTTTCCATTATTTCAATCTCTTTCGGCGGAGTTTGGTGGTATGCCATTTCCAGATGACAACCCACACAATAGATTTCAAAATAACTTCTTGGTAGATGAGTTGAACTATGATAGAGAAAAATTGTCATCTGATCTTAGACAATACTTATCTACCATGAACGAAGACCAGAGGAAGATATACAACGATACAATGGAAGTCGTGACAGCTGAAAATGGAGGTTTCTTTTTTGTGTATGTTTACGGGGGAACCAGAAAGACTTTCCTCTGGAAATCATTATATGTTTCTCTTAGATCAAAAGGAAAGGTTGTTCTAAATGTTACATCCAGTGGCATTGCAGCATTGTTATTGCCTGGTGGAAGGACTGCACACTCTAAATTCTCAATCCCATTGGCGCTAACTGAGTGCTCAACATGTGCCATCAAACAAGGGAGTCTAAAAGCTGAATTGATCCAACAAGCAAGTATGATCATATGAGATGAAGCATGCATGATGAATATATTTGCTTTTGAGGCTTTGGACCACACAATGAGAGATATCATAGGGTTCTCTAATAGTAACTACAGAAATTAACCATTTGGAGGGAAAATAGTTATACTCGGGATGACTTTCGGCAGATCCTTCCAGTTTTTACCCAGAGCTTCGAGAGAGGAAATTGTAGGTGCTAAGGTTGATTCCTCACATTTGTGACCGTACTGTAAAGTTTATACGTTGACTAGGAATGTGAGACTGCATTCATCCACGTCTTCTTGCCTAGATAGGGACACACAAGCTTTTTCTGATTGGATAATCAAAATGGGTGATGGAAAGCTAGGTCAGGTGATGGATGGAGTTAGTGATGTTGAGATTCCGCCCAAATTCTTAATTCTTGATACAAGTTCTCCTATCAAGAGTATAGTGGACTTCACTTATCCGAATATATTAGAGAATATAAAAAATTATTCTTTTTTTGAGGATAGAACATTATTAGCACCAACTCTCGAAGTAGTTGAAATGATAAATGAATTTGTCCTGTCTCCATTCCTGGTGATGAAAAGGAGTACTTGAGTTTTTAATTCTTCGTGCCAAGCAGATGCTGTAACGCCACAAAATATGGCCTAAAATTTATTATAAAACAAAAGTAGTTTTTATCCAATAAGGAATATTTGTACGTTTGACTAAAAATAAATGGATTTTCAAAATAATAACTTTTTTTAAAAAAAAGTTATATTTATGGATATGTCTTGAAGAGACGAATCCAACGGTACATTTTATAAACCAATCTGATTTGTAGATTTCAAGTTATGTCATTTTTAAATAGTAAAATTTGTAACTTTGACCCATAAAATAAACTAAATTCAAAAGTGATTTCATCAGATTAGAAATCATAATTTTGACACTTGACAATATCATATTTATCATTTGGATTTAATTCATATATTTTTATCTCATTCATATTATTATATTAAATTATGATTGAGACAGACCCGGACACTGAGAAAAATAATAGTTCTCAGAAAAATATTTTGATTACGTCAAAATTCTAGTTTTGATAGTCTGATTCCAGAAATACAATTTGTTTTCAATTCGGAACAGTTTGGGCGAAGAAGCGTGTACCGTTTTAGTCAGTTTATCAGTTACGGAGTAAGAAAATAAATTTGATTCCCCAAAATCCTCCAAGTCACGTAGAGACACTCCCATCCCTTCCAATCCTCAATCAAACCAACCCCACTACCATATACGTCCAATTCCTTTTCCCTATAATATCACCCCACCACTACCATCATCATCATAATCTTCACCATCATCCACCATCATCAACATTCATCTTCTCCTCTCCATCTCTCCCTCTCTCTGTCGGCAGCAACAAGAAGAAAAAAAGAAAACTCCAACTCCATGGTAGTATGTTAAGGAAGAAGAAGAAGGAGCAAGAAAACCATCCAAAGTTTCCAAATTTTGAGTCCAAAAACGCAGCAGCAACTTCAAGGTAAAAACTGAAATTTTCCATCCATTATCTCGAAATACTTCTTGAACCAAAGTTGTAGCCCCGGACGTTATGAATCCCACCCAACAAACGGCTCGCGATTTCGTTAAGTAACGAAGAAGGTATGACCAAAATACCGGGACTGCGCCAGTGGTGGCGAGCTCCTCGGGTTGGCATGTTTTTCTTCACCAAAATTCATATTATTTCATCCCAAATATTTACCATAAACTCTCTAACAATTATTAGGAACATCCGGAAGGTATTGCAAAGAAAGTTTGGCGTTGGAATGTTGAAGTTAGTGAGTTAATCGTCGGAATCATGTTCATCGACATACCCGAAATTCTGGACAGCAACTTTCTATTGACTTCAGGTCCGATTTACGCTATCTTACATATGTTAAAACGAAATACTTTCTATACTAAAGTTATAGCCTTACGTCTTAGGAATCCACAGAATCAAATGATTTGCGATTCCGTGAAGAAACGATGGAGATATGCTCAAAATGCCGCAGGCTGTCCAATTGTGACGGGAATGACAAAGTTGGTGAATTTCGATATTGTTTTTACTCCCGCTCATCCGTAAGGTTTTGACCGATGATTTCCAGGTCTGTATCTTTGTGTTAGACTTGTCGAATCATTCATCACATACATACATGAACATATATGTTATTTCATATGTTAAAACCATTCCAAAGTATATATGTGATGCATATATAAGTTATCTATATATTGATATCAAAATACACCAAATCCATAAAGTTAATATACACATAAGTATATATAAACTTTGGAAATCAACCCAACAATATGTATATGTTAATCAAAGGTGCTTAAAAGACTTAAAGAAGTATTTTGGACACTCAAAATATCAAGAGAAAGGTTCGCAGACCCAAACAGTCGACGCAAACGGTCGACCGTCGTGTTAAAAATCGAAACGGAACAAGACTGTCAGACAAACGGTCGACTGCCGGTGGCCAACGGTCGACCGTCGCCTGTCCAGCCAAGTGCCGCCGTCCACCTCTAGTCAACAAAGGTCGACCGCCGGTCAACCGCGGTCGACCGTCACGGTGAATCTCCAATCCGACCTGATGAAGATCAAGGTCGACCGTCGCGCCAAACGGTCGATCGTTCCGAGCCCCGTAGCTTAATTAAATGATATTTTAATCATGTTTCATCCAAATAAACTAATGCATGATTATATATTCATATTGTTTACAAATTGTTCATGTCATATCATTCATTTCATCACACATATTGTAGCATATCATATCATATGCATGCGTAAGAGATCATGTGTAATTGCGTCTCTTATAGCGTGATGCGCGGGACTTACTAGTCCGACATCACCCGTTCCGGGCTTAGTGTACGTACATGGTATTCAGGTTTCGAGTACCACCCATATTTTTCTAGTCTCACCTCATTCGTGAGACTAAGGCCGCGTGAGTTCGTCGTACCAAATGGGCGAATCTCATAGCGCAAGGGTGTCCTTGCTCATTAGAATCATGCATCATGTTATCATCATCAAGTACATTGATTACATAGGTGTCATGTAATCATCATCAAGAACAATCAAATTGATTAAATGTGAAATCATGTTATCATCATAAAGTACATTGATTACATAGGTATCATGTAATCATCATCAAGAACAATTATATTGATTACATAGGTGTCATGTAATCATCATCAAGAATAATTATACTGATTAAATATGCCATCAGGTAATCATCATCAAATGTCCACCATCATAAATCATCAAATTAAAGATACGATATAATGTGCCATATCATGAACATTATTATACATTTTGTGGACGTATATATATGTATATGTATATGTCTATGAATTGTTCTACAATTCTAGCGTGGTACCACTCAGCGGTTTCGCTAAGCGTGTAGTTTGTATTTTTCGTTGACTACACGTAGGTAACAAGAAGACAATGATGGAACCACTCCCGGAAGGCATTAAGTCAGAGGAGATGCAAGGATGGCAGGCAAATGTTGATCATCAGATTTTTAAATGTGTCATGATTTGATTATTTTTGTACTTCCGCATTACTCTGAAAATATTTTTTTAAATGGGTCGCGATCCAGAGTCTGTAAATTTAATATTTATAAGTAATTGTCATTTTCAAATGTCAAACGAAATTTTTATTTAACTCTCGTTTCACCTTAATTCGTGTAATTCCGGGTTATACGGATTGGGGTGTTACAGATGCAGATGTAGGTGTTGATGACGATTGGATAACAGTTGAGTTTTTGAATGTAATCAAATATTCGGGAATCCCAAACCACAAAATAGTCTTGAAAAAAGGGGTACTAATTATGTTATTGAGGAATATTAACCAAACATCTGGATTGTGTAATGGGACAAGATTAGTCGTTCAAGAGCTGCGAAATAACGTTATCGGTGCAATTGTGGTTTCGGGAAATCGAGTCGGGGAAAAGGTTTATATCTGATAGAATTTGGGATGGATATGGACAACATGATTGAGTAATAAGACATTTGGGATGAACCACATTAAAAGATTGAATCCAATCGATTAGTTAGTTCAACTCAAGAGCTTATATACCGATTATTTTCCTCACACTTTTCCGATGTGGGATACTCTTAACACTCCCCCTCAAGTGGACAACCAGCCCATTTTGAATCTAACCGGTTGACCATTTGCAAATGAACTCCCATTCCCTAGACCTTTTTTTTAGCGCCAATACTTAAAAGACCACGAGCCGCTGGTTATGGACTTCTAGAAGAGCAATCGTGTTAAACGGGCCACAAACCGTTGAGTACATACTCCATACGGACAACTGGGCTAAAGACTAACGGGCCGCTAGGAATGAACGTCTAGACATACACCTTGACAAATGAGGTGAGCCAAAACCTGCTCTGATACCATGATAGAATTTGGGATGAATATGGACAACAGGATTGAGTAATAAGACATTTGGGATGAACCACATTAAAAGATTGAATCCAATCGATTAGTTAGTTCAACTCAAGAGCTTATATATCGATTATTTTTCCTCACACTTTTCCGATGTGGGATACTTTTAACAATATCCCTAGAATGAATATGGTAACATATGATCCAAGGCTACCCTTGAAGGTCCAAAGAAGACAATTCCCGATCGCCATATGTTTTGCTATAACTATCAACAAAAGTAAAGGTAAAACATTGTCATTTGTGAGATTATTTTTAGCCAAATCAGTGTTCATACATAATCAACTTTATGTTGCTGTTTCACGAGTAAAGACAAAGACAAGATTAGACATTTTGATTATAGATGACAATGGAAATCCTTACAACCACACCAAAAATGTTGTATATCCTAAAGTCTTTAAGAAAATTTGGTATTAAACTAAACATTGTTAACTTTACATTCAGTTTCTCAAATATTAATTTTTTACTTTGGCATTTTTCATTTGTAGTATTAAAAAATAATGTGAGCAATATATTTTCTTTATTTCAAAAAATAAATTTCATTGAAATAATTCAGAATCAACATAAATTTCATTCGACTCCGTGTATGGGCAGAATACTAGTTTTAGTTGAAGCACGACTCTGCCTGGCCCGGCCCGGCCCGGCCAAGACTCCATTTGGAAACCTTTTTGGGTCGGTCTGGCGTAATTATGCCCGCCACACCTACTCCCAGTAAAAGAAGGGTGGAGCACACAACATCCTTCTTCCTTCTATTTACAACAGCAGCAGGAAAAGTTTCCCACTCACTTGCGCGAAGACGACGTCGTTTGAGTATTAAAAAAGAAAAACCGCAGCCTAAGTCCTAACCAGTAACCGCCCACTAAATCCCAACCTAGGGTAAGGTGTAGAGAAGACCAAGAGAAGATGGACGGAATCGATCGGAAGGGAGCGGAGAAGACCGAGAGAAGGGAGCAACTGGAAAAAGAAGGAGATGGTGGAGGTTGTAGTTGCGAGAGTACTGTTCATCATCTTCTTAAGCTTTGACGCAGCGGCTAAAGTACACACGAATTTCATCAAAGAGCGGTTGCCGTGGTTGTTGATCCGATACAGAGTGTTAAAGGGAAGGTGGTGATTGATTCCTTCCGTTTACTGCTGGAACCATGGGCTGTTTAACTTGAGCATCTGGCCGGACTGTTTTGGACTTGCTTGAACTTAATGGTATTTTGGCACATTTTTTGATTTGGCGATTTATGGGGATGATGAGGACTCTTTTTGGTGGATTGGTGCTGATTCTAAAATTGTGAACTTCGCTGCGTGTGGGCTGAATTGGTGCTGAATCTATTAGGCATTTTGGTCTAATAGGTAATACCATTTCCATTGGGGTTGAGTATTATGTTGTATTTTGCCTCAATGGTCCTGCTGGCAGGCTGCCTAAGCTCTTCTTCACCCTTTCGGTTGGGGCTTTTGGAGGAGCCTGGGTTATCTCGGCCAACAAGTGCTTCTTGTGGTTGAATTGGCTTTTTCTCGGGTTTTGTTTTCGCCGGGAGTTTGTTTTCGCTGGATCCTGCCTATCTACGTCTTGCTTCTGAACTCAAACCGAGGGCAATTGTGGATGAAGGCTTATGGGACAACCTAGTGAACTTGCGCCTAGTCTTTATGGGGACGCTTGCCAAATACCTTGGGGGAACTCTGACCATAGACCTAGAAGGGGTTTGTATGGCAGAGTGTGTCCCTCGGGTCACTTTGGAGGTTAAGCTGTCTGCCTTGACGAGGGTGGACAACTTCTGGCACTCGGGGACTGGCCCTTGGCATGTCGGTGGAAAGCATCAACCTCGTTGATGGATGATGGTGACTATGGTTAGATTAACATCTCACTCGCCTCTTTTGGATGCATGACATTGAATGAAGAACTTTGGAGCTGATTTTGATTCTTGTTTGAGCGTTTGACGTACTGGACCCTTGGGGAGGGAGTATATATGGATGGTCAGTGCTGAAACCCCCGATATATGCTCCCTCCATCTCTTGCTTTGCCTACCGTACTATGGTCGGGATGATGCATGGTACTCGTAGCTCGAAGAGGATTCCACAAGAGCCGGGGCGTGGTCCCCCATGATGAAGTGGGACCACATTGATGTTTTAGTGTTGGTTATTTATCTTGCATGGCCTGCGTGCCAAGTTTTTTGTATGTTGATTGTTGTATTATCTTTGGCTTTGTTGTTGATGTTTGTTGTCTTTTATATGCACGGAACCATTCTTATGGTTCGGCATTTGACATTGATGTACCGTTCTGAGTTGGGGTAATAATAATTTACATTTTACCCTTGGACAAGAGCCACGTCAGACAACATCAAACTTAGGGCATCTAAACAAACCCTCTATCCAAGTGAGTGCTAAATAATACTCCGTACTCCGTATATATTTCTCTGAAGGCTGTAATTACTGAAATGTGTGGTGATGAATTGTTTTTTTAATGGATATGATGGGTATTTGGATCATGCAGGCATTGATTCATGGGCTAAATTGGCACTATTACTCCATATCAATCAATTACAAAAAGAACGAACTTGAAGAGAAGATGCTGCTGAATCTTCAAAAGAAGAAATGGACAGACGGGTTGACACTTTAGCGATTGGATAAAGCTATTTGTACCCCAACTTTTATACCCCACTTTGTACCCCGCAGGTTTGCACCGACACTTTGTGTTGATGTAAAACTAATTTTTGTTAATGCACCGACACTTTGTGTCCGTGTAAATTTTTGTTAACGCACCAACACTTGTGTCGGTGTAAACCATCAAAATGTTTGTGTATAACTGCGGTGTACAAATGGGGTACAATTTGTGGTGTAAGTGTAGCATGACCCTTAGCGATTTGATGCCCACTCCAAAACCAATGAGGAAATTAAACTGTCCAAATAATGAACTGTACTGTTCTATTATTTCCCCTAATTTGGAGGCATCATAATTGAAATGATATGGAATAGTTTTTTGTATGCTTTCTGGTATGTGCACTCCACTTTTTAATCTTAATTTTTAGGATTCAATGCGTGATATGAAAATGTTATATGATTGAATGAAAAAATAATCTTAGTTTAACAGTGAGGCTAATTTAAGATTATGTATTTTGAAATTTTCTTGATGTTAAAATACGTGTATGAGAACTATTACCCTTTTTGTTATGTTGATAATGAATCTATGGATCATCCCTCTCTGCTCTGTCCATAAGTCCAGCCATTATAGTATTTTTTGCTACTATATTAGATGATCTTATTGCAAATTTCTCATCCCTCAAACATCTGCGTATGCAATGCGTGTCTTGATGTTAGGTCTTAAACCCTTATTGGAAGGCTTAAAGCTATTGCACCTGGTGTTATTGTTTGGTAAATATAGTGTACCTACAATGATGTACCTCATGAAGCAGATAAAAAAATTTCTCCTGATCAATTGCACACGCCAATGAGAAGTTCTGTAAACATCTTCTATTACAGATACTTGACACTGGCTCCTGCCTTAAAGGGCAACCTTTCACATTTTTGAAGTTCATGTAAAAAATCTAAAACAGGTTGTGGAGGATGCCCAATTGACCATGGGTGTGGCTCTATAGGGAGGTACATCTCTGTTTTTTTAATTTTCAATCCTCAAATAAAATCAATGTTTGACCTTCCTAAGAGAATTGAACTCTAATGTGAATTTTGGTTTTTAGCTGGTTCAAATTGAGCTCTTTTAGATTTTGGTTGTTTATAGTTTTTGGGGTTTGGATTTTGGGTGATGGGTCTCGAAGATTTTATGGTATACATTATGTCATATTTGATGGTCTAGATTCTAGCTCCATTGTGAACTCTCCATCTCATAATTTGAGTTTTAGCATCCGAGGAAATGAGGAGGGATTACCAAGGGAGTGAAAGAAGTGTGAGTAGAGTTGGGAACAAAAGCAGTAGTAGAGGCTAAAAGGACTGAATTCTGGGATGAGTGATTCACGGGTGGAGGAGGTGCAGTTCAGTGTTTTGAAGCTGGAGGTGTTGCTACAAGTTTTGCAGAGGTTGCAGCATATTTTGGGGTTATAGCTTCAATGAGAGAATGCTTAATATCCTTCGGTATCTCAAGATAAATGATGGCTTGATGTTTTTTATTTTATCTTCATAGTTGTGTTTGTGATTCTCAATCCAACTCTATTATTCGAGCTTAATTTTGGATTTTTTTTTAATTTTTTTAGCATTTTTAGCTTTATGTTTGGGGCCTAACAAAAAGAAAAAAAGCTTTATCTCGGAGATTTTTCTACTCAATTTTATCTTTATGAAAATTTTGTCATAGTTATTATTAGACTTCATAAAGAATAAGGCAGAATGTTAATTCATAGCATTTCTTTTTCTAAGCTACATTGTGGTGAAAGTAATTCATTATAGTAGGGTCCAAACACATGTGTGTTTCATTATTCAAAGATTTTGGGTATAAAGCCTATAAGCATTTGATCTATGTGATTGTGGTTGAAATTAAAGAAATATTTAATTTAAAATTATTTTTTGGTGATCGTGATTTTGTTTTCATGTTTGTTTGCATGAAAGAGATGCAATAAAATTGGGTTAATGAAAATAAATATGTGCTTTTGGTTTAGGAAAATATGGTTTATCAATCTATTTTTTACAATAAAATTTAAATTCAGAAAAAAATTAAGTCTGTAGAAATTGAGGAAGTGTTTAAGTTTGTAACAACCTATTCTAGATTATGAGTTAATTTGATCCAAACTATAATTATTAAAGTAAAAGTTTTGGTCTTCTGGAACTTTATTTTTGGCATCCTATGCCTTGACAAATTTATACTCTTTGGAAATAAATGAAACATTAACACATAGAAATGATAGAACATTAAATGTATCCTTGAAAAATGATAACGCGTTTTTATTTATTTTCGTACTCATTCGATTTAATGAGGTAAAATGTTTGTTATGAAGGAAATATATATTCTAAAGTAACCAAGTCAATAACATTTGGTTTTATTTGTTTGTATACAATTATTTATTTTCTGAAATTTTTATATTCTACATTTTTTAATAAATTACTTATCGTGGGGTAAAATCTAGTAAACAACAACATAGCAAGGGCAAACGCGGAGGCTGTGTGGAGTTCGACCCCAAAGACGACAATCTGATGGAAGAAGACATCGATGCTGCCCCCAGGGCTCCCATTCCCGGGATCGGGTCCACTCTCGGCGACTCCTCTGCCCCGAAGAAAACGAAGGGCCGCGGCTTCCGGGAGGAGGCTGCCGAGGCCGAACACAGTGCTCGTTTGTCTGCTCGCTTCGATTCTCTCGTCTCTCATGGCGACCCTGGTTCTGAACGATGTCAGTTTCTCATCTCTCTCTCTCTGATTTTGCACTTGTACCATTGATAATTACAGCTTTTCATGGTTTTAGGTATAATTATTGCACAGTGTAAAATTAGTTTCGCAATTGCTAACTAGTTATTTTTTTAATTGTTTTGAACTGAATACTCTGGCAAAGATTGAACTTGAATTTATTTCAAGAACTGAATATTTGGGCGAATATTGGATTTTACTACTATACTTATAAATGTTTGTAGCTTGTGTTACCGACGTTAGCCTGAATTGTTTCTTGGTATTCTGTCATTTTTGTTACACATGTTTGATGTGAATCTATGGTTTGTTTCTACAACAGATGATTATTGCCTGAATGTAGTTTGTAATTGGGTGACATTGCATTGTATGACAGTGGATGCATATATCATCGTAGGTTGTGTTGGAAACATTCCGCCTGATTTGTTTCTTTGTTTTCCTCACTTTGTAGATTTGTTGAATGACGATGTATTAGTGGAGAGCAGTGGTGGGTGCTCTACCGAAGGACATAACGTACCTGTAGTTGGAATGAAGTTTTCTAGCATTGAAGAAATTCGGGGACACTACTTGGCATATGCTCGAAGTGTAGGATTTCCAATTCGTACTAGAACGACGCGTAAGAGCGCGGACGGAACTATTAGGAGCGTGACGTTTGTGTGTTGTAGAGAAGGGAGTAAAAAGAGGAAAACACAAAATGTGTTGCACCCAAAGCCAATGATGCAATTGGGATGTGAAGCAAGAGTAACTGCTTCGTGCGATGGGGATGGAGTATGGAGGATTTCTGTTGTGCAGTTAGTGCATAACCATAATTTTAGTCATATAAAATCCAGATTATATCGATGTAATCGCAACTCGCCTGCATATGTTAAAAAGAAGATTGAAGTTGATGCGATGCCAGAAACTTCTCTTCATAAGAGTTTCCAGTCAGCTATTGTGCAAGCGGGTGGATATGAACAGGTTGGCTTATTAGAGAATGATTGCCGGAATTATGTTGAAGAGGGAAGACAACTAAGATTCAGTGCAGGAGATGCAATGGCCATACAGAGTTACTTTAATAGAATGCAAGCTAAAAATAACAGTTTTTTCTTCAGCTCGGATCTTGACGAGGAGTCAAGGCTTAGGAATGTGTTTTGGGCAGATAATAGGTGTCGACAGTGTTATACATACTTTGGTGATGTCATAACATTCGATACAACATACTTGACTAACAAGTATGACATGCCGTTGGTTTCGTTTGTTGGCGTAAACCATCATGGACAATCAATACTTCTTGGTTGTGGCTTAATCTTACAGGAGGATACTGACTCATTTGTTTGGCTTTTCAAGACATGGCTTCAATGCATGGATGGCATTCCACCTCAAGGCATAATTACAGACCAAAATAGGGCCGTGGAACATGCAATTTCTATTGTGTTTCCTCACACTAAACATCGTTGGTGTCTTTGGCATATTTTGAAAAAATTACCTGAAAAGTTGGGAGGCATGTTCGCTACAACTCATATCATGGCTAACATTCATGAGCTCGTATACGATGTGCATGTAATTAATGAATTTGAATTACGGTGGAAAGAAATGATTGAGAACATGGGCCTTCATGATCATACGTGGTTAGGGGACATGTACGCTGCCAGAGCTCGATGGGTTCCATGTTTTTTGCAGACATCGTTTTGGGCTGGTATTTTTTTACGCCAATATTTTTGTCTTCTCAGTACAGACAATTACTCTCTGTCGAACAAAAATAAACAGACAGTAATTGTATCTGTTGTTCATAATAATTTCTGCTAATCAGACGGTGCCTATAAGTAACCTGTTATAGTAAATTAGTAACTCTCTTTCTGCAGGTATGTCCACAACGCAGCGCAATGAAAGTATAAATGCTTTCTTTGATGGCTACGTGCATGCGAAAACTACCCTCAAGCAATTTGTGGTACAGTATGAGCGTGCTTTAAGGAAAAAAGTAGAAATGGAGCTCCAAGCTGATGCTAGTTCTTTTGCAAAAATGATCCCGTGTTTGACAACGTATGAGATGGAGAAACAAGTTCAGGAGGTATATACTCTTTGTAAATTTAAAGAGTTTCAGACAGAACTTTTCGGGAAAGTCTATTGTGATATTGTTAGCACAGTGGGTGGATCCGTTTACGAAGTGGAGGACGTGTGCATCAATGGGCTTGATATAAAGAAGTCATTCCAAGTCCTCTTTGACTCGCGTACAAGGGAGGTGGAGTGTACTTGTCACTTATTTGAGTTTAGAGGGACGATCTGCAGGCATTGCATAGTCGTGCTCATCCGAAATGATGTGAGTTTTTTGCCGGAGAAGTACATTCTACATCGGTGGAGACGTGATGTGCAGCGGGCATACACCCGTGTTAAAATAGACTACGATGGGTGGATTTGTACTGTTCAACAACAACGTTACAATGATTTGTGTAAGAACTTCCAAGTATTGGCAAACATAGTCGTAGATGATGAAGAGCGCACAAACGAAATCATGGAGTGGATGGAGAGGGAGTTGGCACGTAAAGTCGGGCGCACTCAAATCCCAACGGCTGCTATTGAACAAGTTAGGGAGTCAACACTTGCAGACCCGTTACACAACTTGGACCCCGAATGAGGAGCTCCATGAGAAACAGTTGGTACCAGAAATCAGTCGTGGAAAAAGCAATGAGAAACAACCCAAAAACAGGGAGAAGCATCTGAATGCAAACAAGAGAGTAGACACGCATGTCAAAGATGGCAATGGTGTTTACGATCTCACTATTGGAGCTTTGGGTTGGATCTTGGCCTCTCTGTTTCCTAAACTCTGATTATGTACTTGTCAAGGCTTAGTGAATGTGAATGATTTTTTGTTATTAACACAGTTTATGAATCGCAGGTAGTGAACGTTTGTGAATTCCTTCATTGTGTGGCCTCTTAAAAGGCAAAAAAAAGAAGATAAAATGTATACGAAGTTTGTTAAAATATGCACATCAGACTATGTGCTTTTCATGCTTGAAAATATATTGTTCGCATTTGGTTGTGTATGATTTCTATAGGCTTAGGGGGTGTATTCAATCCACTATGTAGGTTTTTTTGGATTTTAAAAGTCAATGAGTATTCAATTAAGATTTTAAAAAATCATTTAAAATCTAGAAGTATTCAATTGAGATATTAAAAAATCTTTGTAAATCTAATGATATTGAAAAATTAATCGATTTTCAAGGATTGTTTTAAGGAATGGATTGTGATGGATTTTTAGCTTGAATTATAAATAAAAAAAACTTGTTTGCAAATCCAATTTCAACTTGGCATTAGCCAGATCGGCCGATCTTCTATGCTTCCGCACAAGGTTCATCTTCTCCTCTGTCTGCGCAAGTTTTTTCTTCTCCAACTTCCTTCCGTCGTCTCAAGCCCTCAAGGTTAGTTATGTATATAAATTCTAACATATAATGTAAAGATTGTATATGTAGTTTATTTTGCTTGAGGACAAGCAAAAGCCTTAGTGTGAGGGAGTTGATATGGCACATATTCTATGCACTTTTAGGCATATTTTGAAGCAGTTTTAAGTCCCAATTGAATTTAGTGTTTACATTTTATTTTAAGTTTTCGTGTTATTTTCGTAGAGCGTCCTATGCTTGGTTTTATATATTCTGCAGGTATTTTGAGATCATTTGGATGCAATAAGATTGGAGAAAACAAACCTAAGATTCGAACTCGTGACCTGGGGGTATGGAAACAGAGCACTAACCATCGCGCCACAATATATTATTCAACATTTTACTGGGCGATACCTCTTATCCCTTTTTACGATTCGGCCCATGAATTGAGAAAGAAAAATGACAAAAACAACCTACGATGGGGAAGATTCGAACACAGGTTCAAGTGGTGCGAAAAGCAGCTTCATTTCCATGTGCGCAACTGTACCTGTGTTGATAATTAGTGCGACTGTTGGTATACATACCTCGTAGATACGGATTTATCTATAAAAATTTCTCTAATCTCTTCCTCTAAAAAGTTGGAACTCCCCACGGTTGGAATGCAAGAGTTCAACCCTTTTTGCGTTGTTAAGCGTTCACAGGTTTTGATAAATGACAAATGCAAGCTATTCAAGTCAAGATTAAAGTACTACATCGACAAACACGAAGACTTGAAGTGTAAATTCTTTGAAATATCCAAGATGGTGCATAATAATTGAAATAAAGACCAAGACACGTTCGGAGCGCCTAACGGAGGAGTAGAAGATTTCTGAAGACATTTTAATTTATTTGAGTCTTAGGAAATATTGTAAGGATGAAAAAATATTATTCACTCCAAAATTATTTTTATAAGAGTTATATAAAAATTATAGTTATTTTGTAGTTAGTTGAAAAATTCTTTTTTTAACTGTTCTAAAATGCTTTAATTGAGTCAGTTACAAAAGTTGTGTCAAACATTTATCAAAATACTTATTTTGAAATTAGAAAATTATTTTGGTAAGCAAAAATATTTAATTCAAATATTTTTCTTATACATCGTTTGACACAAAAAAATATTTTTTGGGACTCAGTTTCTATACCCCAGTTTCATTTAATTATTCAAAATTATTTTGAATAATTGTTTGAGGTGATTAGGAGTCTCCTTCACCATGTTATCTTGTTGGAAACAAGAGGAATTGGACAAAAATGATTTATCCCGGCGCACATGCATGTTTTTATCCTGTCTGTGCATTTTTTGCTTCAGAAATAGATTTTTTATTTTAGCAAAATCGATTTTTTGCTTCTGGATTATTGTTTTCATATTTCACTTCTTTCTTTGGACCAACGGACATATTCTCTTTACCTTATTTAAACCCCTCTTCCTTAGTCATTTTTGGACACTTGAAATACTCTAAAAACACATCTTTATTTTGGTCTTTAGGCCCTGTTCCGTTCAACTTATTTTTTCTTATTCTTATTAAACTCAGATCAGATTAGACCAGATCAGATCGAATCAGATCCGACCAGATTAGATCCCATCAAGAATTATTATTATTATTATTATTATTATTAATGAAAAAGAATAAACTTTAGAAACAAGTTAAATAGAAAACTGAGAAGGTAATCCTTAATTATTAGACATCGGAAAAATTATTTCTAAAATACATTGACAATGTCAATCTAATTTTTACTTTTAAAATACATTTTTTTTCTACCTGTAATTTGAGTTTCTAAAGTTTTGATCTTTTGTAAGGATGAGATATTTTAATAAAAATACTATCTCTTATATATATATTGATTATCTAAATTTAATTACTTTTTAATGTATATATAAATTAAATATTTATTCTAATGTATATGATTACATTATAATATTAATGATTATTCTAATATATGAATTAACTAATTTTATTTTATTAAAAAATATTTATAAAATAAAAAATATTGATTATATTAAAATATGAATTATCACTACAATTTTCAAACATTATTATAAAGTAAAATCAAATTATTGATTTGAATTTTAAATCAAATCATAATTAATCAGACCAGATCAGATCAGATCTAATCAGATTAGATCAGACCAAATCAGAAAAAATAAGTTGAATGGAATAGAGCCTTAATCCTCCATTAATTCCTTCCACAAATATAAGTTATTTTGAGAGAAAACTATTTATTTTTCAAAAGAGTGTTCTTGTCATCCATAGATCTTAATCATTTTCTCATTACTACTCTTGTGAGAGTTTTGCTGTGAGGTTGAAGAAGGTTTTTCTTCTTATTGTACAAGACTTATGTGACTTAAGTCTTTAGTGTGAAGTCTTGTAGAGGAAACATCTACGAGCGGTTGTGTTGAGGCTTGTGAGATTCAAGTTCTTAGTTTGTAAACGGTTTGTCAAGCACCCATTGAAGCTTGATAAGTAGTGGTAGCTTCGAGAGAGTCTCTCGGGGAACGGGACTACCCACGAGGTGGTAAACCAGTATACATTGGTGTGTTCTTTGCCTTCTCTCTTTTATTTCCGCTGCACTTTCATTTATTGTATAATCCTGCGAAAAACGGTAAACATTCTCAACAACTCTATTCACCCCTCTAGAGTTGCACGCATTGTCTAACACCCACTTCTCCCCTCTCTCCATTTCAGAAATTCCCTTCCTCTCTCACTAATATCTCACCACTTTCTTCCTCCAAACACATAAAAATCATTCCATCATCATCATCGTCAACACCATCTATTATATTTGGAGCTCAAGAACACATCTTCTATTTTTGTAAGATTTTTATGATTGTAATAAATATTTATTTGTTTAAGCTTCAAACTATGTAAAAAAGTCGATTACAACCTAAGAGGGGAGGGAATTAGGGTGTTTAAAACTTTTTCGTAAGAACAAAAAATCAGGCACAAGTTGAATAGTTGAAATAGAGCAACAAAAGTAAGAAAATTAAAAGTACGACACAATCAATTTTATACTAGTTCGGGAACTCCCTACTCTTGTACCTCAAGGCTCCTCCTCAAGGATTTAACCTCCACTAACTTGTTTGGCTTCACTAAGAATACTCAAACGAGGTCCAGCAAACAACCCTTGCCAATAAACAAATGAGATTTTACAATGGCTATCTCGACCGCTTACAATCCGAAGATTTATAGGCTATCTTCAAACTTAAAACAAAATGAGGATTTAAAGGCTATCCACACATTTTAAAAAATAATAGAAATGGTTGTTGCTTCTCTACTAAATAATCAACAATATGAGTTGGGTAGGAGAAGAACAAAGTATAAAATCAGTAACAGCAATAGCCTATAGGCAAGATATAAAATAATGAATAATAAATGCCCTTGTGTGTGAATGTATAAAAATAATGAAAGCTTTATACTCAAAAGCGTAAGAAAAATAAGAACAAAGCTTGAAGAAACACTCAAGAATATAAAAACAGACTTTAGATTAAGTAGGGATGTTGTTGTGTATAAAATGAGACTTAATGGGGGTTTATACAGGAGTTGGAAGGGTTAGAATTGAATTTTTTACGTTTAAGACCGTTGGGAAGTGATTGGGGGGTAATTTAAATTTGAATTGAAAATCAGCTACAGTGCCTACAATGGATCAGGTACCCTTTACGGTAGGGGTAGTACCGTCCGGTACCTAGGTACCGTGAACACGATACGGCCTACCGTTGAGAGGTACCGTGTATCTCATAATAATGCAGCGGCACTGGCGGAACCTAGCGTCAAACAGTTGCGTCTTACGTTCCCCAGCCTACCGGCGGTACCTGGGTACCGTTGACACGGTGGGGGGTACCGTGTCACTCCAAGTGAAACGTACCACGATACGGTCACTTAGCTTCCGTCAGCACCTAAGTACCGTTGACACGGTAGTCAGGTAACTTATGGCCTGAGACGTTTTCCAAAACTTGATTTTTTTGTGTTCATTTTTCAAAATAACCCCCAACTAAGAATATGTTTGACATTTTAGAAATAACACTTTAAGTGAAAGGGCATAAGTATATCATTAAATATATATCACTACCTTTACACAAATGTTTCTAAACCCGTAGGAGTACATCTCGGTGATGCTAATCAAGTTAGAGTGGTTTGACGTTTGGTTTCTTCCTGCAAATAACGTTAGCAACATTTGGAAGACTTATTTGGCACATCAAAATGTTTATGGGATACGGCATTCAAGGACAACAATCTCCCCCTTTTTGATGTTGACAAATAAGGCTTTCTAATATAATAAACAAACGCACAAACATATCGTGAAAGGATATTTGATTGCAAAAGACTCCCCCTGGGTTGATGCACTTAGGGTTTTGACAAAAGCTCCCCTAAATACATGCATATGAAAGCCTAATCATTCTCTCCTTTTGGTAACATTCAAAAAGGTGGGGGTAAGAAAAACAAATAGACAACCCATATGAATTCAATAAAGCTCAACCATAGCCATTGTAAATAAGTTTCAAACATAATATCCAAAGCAATTAAATGAATTCATACAATACATACCACAAGAGTCTT